TACATGACACTCATTTCTTGGACATCTAAATCATGAGTGAAATTTAGAAAACACACAATGATATTCATTTTTATTTTGGTGCTTCCATGGTGAATTAAATTTCTATATTTCTCATTTATTGTCTGACTCCTCAACAATGAGTTCATCTGCAATGAAAATGGCTTTATTTTTTCTAATTAGAAGTGTAAAGAATATTCTCAAATCTCAAACAATCGAAGCACTCAGATTAAGGGAAATCACCTACAGTTTCAGTAGGCTCTTAGTGGGATTTCATGTTTCTAGTTTAACTTCACTGTTCTTGTACTATGCAGAACATAAAGTTATAGAGGCAAATTTACACTTGTGCCTGTAGGATACAAGGGGCAGGGTCTGCTGTTTTTATTTGTTTCGGTTATCAAAGCATCATAGACATCATTCCCATCATTCTCATTCAGTAACATAGCTGTGACTTCCTGTGCAGAGATGGTTAGACTTCACGTCGTAGGGATAGTTCAGGTTACTCCCCATCAAGAGCACACTGATATGTCCTTCACTAGCAGAGGTCAAGGGTGAGCTCAACATATGTACATTGCATTTAGCTGTTGGAGCTGCTGTCTGTTGGGTCCTGGTTGACACCCAGTCCTAAGCCTAGCAGGAAGGAGCAGAGACTCTTCTGAGAAGTAAAAATGTCATTAATTCCAAGGATGAGCCTTCAAGCATCCTAACTATAAATAATTGGGTTTTTCTCCTGACCCCATTCTAGTTACTTGTACAGTATTTTTTCTTTCTCCCAAACCTCCAAGCAGGAAATAGCCTCAGTCACAACGATACACAGGAGCAGCTGGGCAATGTGCTCCAGCCCTGGCCAGGCACTGCCAGTGACCCGCGCAGGGAGCTCAGGGGACACCTGGGCCGGGAGCACCTTTGCCCTCAGGACCTCACCGGCTGCCACTGTCTCCAGGGTGCAGAATTCCACTTTGCTATCCTCTCCCTGTGAGTGGGACTGGTACCCTGGCTACCGCTCCAGCCAGAGGCTGGTGCACAGCCTACTTTCCCAGCACCAGTCCCAGTGCAGAGGAGGTGAACTGCTCCCAGTGCCCAGAAGGACTCCCGGCCGCCATAGCACCACTCCCAGAGCAGAGGAGGTGAGCAACATGGGCACCAGCAGCAACCCCCACCCCCATGTAAGGAAGCCACAAAACCAGACTTCCAGATCACCTACAGCAACCCCAAAGGGAAATGAGATGAAACAATCTGATACTCAACAACCTGGACTCTCTGAACTGGCAACAAAAGAGGATCTGGAAAAAAT